CAGACTCTAATCCAAGTGATCATATTTGGAGACACAGCCTTCAAAATGATAAAATCAGATCACTGGGTGGGGTTCTAATCCAACCTGAATAGTATCCTGAAAAAGAGATATATGTGAACACAGAGAGATACCAGAGGTGCATATACACAGAGGAAAGGCCATATGAGCATACAGCAAGTAGGTGACCATCTGCAGGCCAAAGAGAGAGATCCTCAGAGACACTGAACTAACTGACACTGGTTGGACCTGTAGTCTCCAAAAAAATAATTTTGTTTTTGAACCACTCACCCAATATGAGTTATTTTGTTATGCTAGTCCTGGGAAACTAACACAAATTGGGATGGAGAAAGATATTAGGAAGATAAATATGTGTGCAACATGGTGAGAAACACGGGGGAATGAACATGGGCATCTAATGGGAATTTTGTTTACTTTTACCTTGTAACAAGAAAAGCATTTCCCTAACTTTGCATAGAATCCTTAATAAAATCTACATTGCTCACAGCATTGTGAAATTTATTTTTTTATGTTTTTTTTTTCTGGATAAGATAATACCTCAGGGCAGACTTGAGCTCATTAAATTTTTACATGAAGACTAGCAGATATGGGTTAAGTAGACATCTAGATTTATTGTAACTGGAGAGAATTTTTATTTTGCATGAACAAAGTGTTGTCTATAATGCATAAAAATCAGAAAATGCAAGAAAAGTTTATTTTTGAGCCCCAAAGTCTGAAAGTCAAGATAATTTCAAGAGAAAACACAGTATAAAGTAAACCAGATCACAAAGGCTGGTCCAGGTACTGAACTGTTGAGAATGACAACGAAACTGAGCCTATTTTCTCTGGGGATTACTTTTACTTCATTCAGCAAGCAATGAAGGGATACATGGAAATCAAGGCACTTTATGCAAGTGGCTACAGCTTCCAGTTATCTCTCCTGGTCCTAATGAACAAGTTTTTACATTTTAAGGTCTCCGAAGAATGGAATTTTGTGCAGCAGGCAGTCTACCAGGAGGCCAGATTAGCAGATGTGCTCTCCTCCAACATTGTCAGCTACCAATATCAGTGCATGCACCTTCTTGAGCAGGTGGGGTGACCAATCAGCTCTCAAGAATGTGTCTTATTAGCACACACTAATAAGACTATGCTTATTTTGTTATGCTGAGCACATTCTTGTATGTATTATTTCTAAAACACTGGGTCTTGCCAAAGTTTCAGTGTGGCAGGCATGGCTTATAAGAAAATGTTTCTAAATTTCATATTTTGAATTTTGGGGGTCTGTGTACATTGTTAGAATAAACCTCCTTTTATTTATTTTTTTTGTCATAGAGTCTTTAGAATTGCTATGCATAAGACCATGCCATCTGTAATTATACACAATTTTTTTCTTTCTTCCCAATTTGGATGGTTTTAACTTCTTTTTTTATTTTTTCCCAACACAAAGAATTTATGAAGTAATTTTTTAATATGTGTTGGGTACAGCCAATTTCTTTTTCTTATCTAGTCGTTCTGGCTAGGACTTTAGGTACTATGTTGAAGAGAAGAGACAAGAATGAGCTTATTTGTCCTGTTCTCAATCTTAGAAAAAAAATGCATTTTTTCACCATTAAGTATGATGTTTCCTTTGGACATAGGCATGCCTTTTGTTGAGAACTTTTAATCATGAAATAATATTTAATAGGGTCAAATGTTTTTTCTGTATCTACAAAGATGTTCACATTGTTAGCATCTTTCATTGTATTAATGTACTGTATCAATTTTATTTATTCTTCCATCCATGGATGAATAGACAAAGAAAATGTGGTATATACATACAATGGAATATCATTTAGCCTTAAAAAAAAAAACTCCTCACATTAGTGATAATATTGGTAGACCTGGGGGACATTATGCCTTTACTAGACATATTACTATTTTATTAATTTTGACTGATTTTACAAATAAGCCAGACACACAAAGACAAATTCTGTGTGATCTCACATATATGTGGAATCTAGAACAATCCAAGTCATAGAAACAGATAATGGAATGGCATATGAAACTAGTTGAAGAGTAGGTTTCTGTTATACAAGACAAATAGTTTCTAGACACCCACTATGTATTGTGTCATATACTTAACCTTTGTAAACAGGCAACTCTTGTGTCAAATATTCTTACCACAAATAATAAATAAATAATAAAGGGGGCAGAAAGAAACTTTGAGAGTAATGAGAATGTTTAGGACCTTAATGGTAGTGATGCTTTCATGGGTGTGTATTTATCCCCAAATTGATTCAATTATATGCATTGAATATACACAGATTTTTAGATGGCAACCCGACCTCAATAAAGAACATTAAAATGGAAAATAAACCTCAATGATAAATATTCAATAAATGATTATTGATGACAGATGTACATCTTAAATTTGAGATGAAGTTCAGGGATATATTGTTTATTATAATATCAATAGTATAGCTAGTCATTAATCCTATTTCTTGTCTGTCTGCCAAGAAATGTGGAATTTCTGGAAGTTTGGAATATGGAATTGAATTTCCATGTTGTGTTGAGATTGAATAAGGCAATACAACTTGCTTCAGCCAAGGAAATGTAAGTAAAAGAGAAATATGTCATTAGAACCAGAATATGTGAAGAGCCAATGAACAATTTTCCACTCTCTCTTTCCTATTGTCATGACCACCAGCAACACTGAAGTAGTGGCTGCTTCCAAGAGCTACAAGGAAATACAGAACACATGCCCTAGTAGAATCGTGACATACATTAAACATGTGACTAAATAAACCTTTGTTGTGAAAAGCCACGGAAATTTGATGGAAAGGGGTTGTTTGTTACCATAGCATATGTAGCCTATTCTGGCTGATGGAAATAGGTTTTTCATCATATAAATGAATTCTTTATACATTAGACATGTAAAGTACATCTCTGGCTGTTTAAAACTGAAGAATTCTCTGACAAAGTCTTTTCTGTAACCACCATTTTATAGAAGGGTTTATCTTTTCCCATCTTTATGGGAAAACATGTATTGAACATTTTTTTTGAAAGATGAACATGACTTTGCATGCATCTTATGTATGTATATTGTAATAAGATATTATTGTTTCCGCTTATAGGTGTTAGAATTAAAGATTAAGAGTTTAGGAAAAAACACACGTTGTACATTTAGTAAAACAGTGGACTCATTTCAAGCCTACTTCTCAACCTTATATATATCCCCTTCCTATATGCTACATAATTCCTCTGGTTCACCTGAAGATGGGAAAGTGTTACCACCTAAGAGAAGTTTTTTGTTCTCTTTATACTCTGAAAAAGGTTCAGACTCTCATTCAGATATTTTATGGATCTTCAAGAAACAGGTTTAAATAAAGGCAATCTTCTGTGTTCTGGAAGTGAGCTCCTCTTTAGATTCTTCTGCCCTAGATGACCAAGTTCTCCCAAAATAGAAGGAATTCAGCTAAATTTTTAGAGAACTGGTCTCCTTCCTTAGTGGAGCAATATAAGGGGAAAATAATAAAGAAAATGCAGAATGATTTTCATGTCATTTGATAAAGTAGACTTTTTTTTCACTTATTTGTGGGAAAATATAGGGACAATATAATCAACCAATCATGGTTTTTCTTTCATTGTAAAAATAATCAGCATTGTTTAAATAGTGCCAAGGCCAATGTCTCGGCTTGGCACCAGAATCACGAGGCACTCATAGCTTTGTAGGTTCAAACAGCAATTCTTTATTCCAGCTCTCACACCGCCTCCACACAGGTCCAGGGGCAAACACGTTCTGCCGTCTCCCGCACAATTCACCTACCCACGAGGCTCTCTCCAAATCCCATTTTAATCTCACGAGAACTCAACGGGAACAAGCAGCAGGAACACCCTAATCCCAGCAATAATCTTCAACTTCCAACTTCCCTAAAACCCATTATCTTAAACTGGCAACGCCTTAAACTCAAAGAGCCGGTTACTTCCTCAAACCTGATCAGCTCTAAACCCGGATCCGCCTTGATCCTTGAGCAAGGTCACCTTATTAAAGTATGCATGCAATGTCCCATCGAATGTCCTCTAAGCAGCATGGGGTACGCTTGGCAAGGAAATTTCGATGCGTCATTCCTACTTGGTAATGGCCCTCAGCAAAATAGAAAAAAAAAACCTATGAGCAAATTTTGCTTTTGTCACTTCTTAAATGAGTCACTTCTTAAATGATTACATTTTCCTGTTTTTACCATCAATAAAATGATACCTATTCAACAAGGTTATAGAAAGCATATTTTTAAAAATTTCCTAAAATAAGTAGTGAAGAATTTGTCATATGGTGACTATAGTTTCTTTCCTTCAGATCCGAGAGTAAATGAAGCAAATATTCAGATTTTTTTCTTTAGAGTTCAAATTAAATGGAATTACAACATCAATTTCCCCAAAACCTCAAAGCTCCAGTTACAGAAATCGTGTGTGTGCGTGTGTGTGTGATGGTGTTCTTGTTTGGGTTTGGGTTTGTTTATTTGTTGAGACAGATCTCACCTGGTATGTTGCCCATGCTGGCCTCAAACTCTTAGGCTATGAATGATCCTCCTGCCACAACCTCCAGAGTAGCTGAGACCACAGGTATGCAGCACTGTGTTCAGCTTATCCAAACTTTTTTTTTAACCTTTATTTTATTTATTTATTTTTATGTGGTGCTGAGGATTGAACCCAGTGCCTCATGCGTGCTAGGTGAGCACTCTACCACTGAACCACAACTCCAGTCCTTATCCAAACCTTTTTTAACATAAAGGTATCAAAATATGTGCTCTGTTTCATGTGAACAGATAGTGAAAAGCTGTTTTATCCATCTTACCCATCACATACATCACAAAGGAGGATTCTGCACTAGTTTTCCATGAGAATCATTGTCTACTTTCAAAGTCAGTAAAAGAGCCAGAATGGATATATTATGCTTATTTATTTAATAGATCTAGAGAAAACATTTGCTAAAAGAATGTGATGAATGTATTTATCTTTCCCTCTAGTTGCTAGTCTGTGGGCAATGATCATTGAGAAGAAAGTCAGAGCTGAAAGTTCAGAGGAGCAAGCAACCCTGGAGCCACAGGGTTGTAGGTAAGTTAGTGAAAATAAAAGATATGAAATGGCCTTACTCTTTAATAAAATTTACTTATGCTAATTACAGGAGACTGATTGACCTAAGTTTTAAAAGCCTTAAAATGGTGTATAATTTTGGCTACAGTTCTCTAATTTTAAAATTTTGCTAAGTTGTACATATGAGAAATAAGTTTACAATGGAAATGTTTGGAATAAAGGAAAAAATGAAAATGATAATAGCCTTCATAAGTATATGTACTATACTCTACTATACTCTACTATACTCGAAAATACAATGATTCTTCAAGATTGTTGGAAATTTATCCATGCTATGCTAAATTAAAAAATGGAATGTTATCTCATTCTGATTGTTGACCTAATATTTCTTTATAACGTCAGTAAATAGAACTAAATATAAATACATAATGACTTATTTTTGTATTGAGAGAAAAATCGGTTAAGATTATTTACTTTTAGCCAGACAGCATGGCACATGCCTATAATCCCAACACTCGGTGGCTGAGGCAGGAGGATCATGATCCAGCCTCAGCAAAAGTGAAGTGCTAAGCAACTCAATGCGACCCTGGCTCTAAATAAAATAAAAAATAGGGCTGGGGATGTGGTTCAGTGGTCAAATTCCCCTGAATCTAATCTCTGGTACCATCCCGGCCCCGTCAAAAAAACATATTTACTTTTACCAAATTTGTTAATCAAGAGGATAGGGTTGCATTGTATTAAAGGAGTATGCGATTTCTTGCTCTACTTAGTTTTCCAAGTCTTCTAAATTTACCACAATGGGTATGTACACCTTTAAAACTTAGGTCATGCAATCTTCTGTAACGAGTACAAACATTCATATTAAGTAATATAAGCCATGTAAAAAACATGCTTTCTTATGTGTTCTTATGATTATATATTTAATTGGATATTTCATCTCATGAGATGTGTAAGAAATTTATATATGTATTCTTAAAAGTTTACTGTAGTTATATTCCAGCACCATTCATTGACTATTTCTTACTTCAACTACAACTTTCAAATGTTAGATTTATCACAATGTGTTTGTCTGGCTTCTGTTCCTCCTATAAATACCTGGGTGAGATAACTCAGAAAGAGCACAGGTTTATTTTGGCTCACATTTATGGAAGTTTCAGTTCATGGTCCGTTGGCTGTGTTGCTTTTGGCTGGGTGGCAAGCCACTGTCTTATAGCAGGGAGTACATGGTGCTCTTCTCCTCACTGATGGAAAGCAAAAAGAGACAGGAAGAGATTCACACTCTACAGCACCCTTTGAGGTCACACCCCAGGTAGTCTGAAACCTTCTCACAAGGTCCCATCACTTAAAGGTTCTACCACCTCTCAAAAGCACCAAACTGGGGACCAAACCTTTGACACACAGGTCTTTTGGGGGACACTCCAGAGCCAAGCTGTAGGACATGAAAAATGTTTCTACTGATTCATTAGTGTTTCATTACTCTTGATTTTAAATTTTGGGTATTTAGAAGTATGAAATAACAGACCAATATATTTTTCTTATAAAAATTACCAGTTTTTACAGCAACATTTATCAAATAATCTTTTCCCAGTGTTTACAATGCGCATTATACTTCCTGAGTTTCCCCAAGTATTCTATATTTCTATCCTTGAGCCAATATTACACTATCTTAATACCATATCTGTATAGTGAATCTTGATATCTCATAGGCTTTGTTCTGCTTTATCTTCTTCTTCAGCTATAGATTGGATCTTCTTGATTCTGCTTTTCAACATAAAATTCAGAATTAGCTTGCCATATTTCAATTAAAAATTGGGGAGTTTTTATTGGTTATTAGAATTTCATTAATCACTCCATAGTGAGTACAGTCTTATCCAGAAAATGGGATAGCATCATCATTATTTCAATATTTTCTTAGGTTTATATATTTTAAAATTTCTTCTATAAGAACTTGCACATTTCTTTTAGATTTATTCTTGAATTATCTGTATGGTTTGCTACTGAAATATTTTCTTCAAAAAATATATAGTAATTTTAATTGCTATTGTACAAAAAATTACTGAGCTATGTGTGCTAATACTAGTGTCTATCATATTGATGAATTTGTGTCTGTTCACATTTTAGATTTGCAGATTCTCTATCACCTACAAATGATACAATTTTTTCTTCCTCCTTCTCAATCCTTACACTCTCAATTTGTTTTGTCTGTCTTGCTGCATGGGTGTAATACCTAGAAGATATTTTAGTAAGTACGGGTGTCTTAATTCAATTCTTTGCTCATTAAGATCATTGTTTCTTTCTATTCATTAAACATTTTTAATTTTCAAAAATGTTTATTTTTAATTTATATGCAAAAACCTAAAAGTCCTACATTGTTATTGGGGTACTCTCACAATTTTGGATGTAGGTATACATGAAATAATGTTTAAATCATGTTGAACATTTATCTCAACATTTATCACTTCTTTATGATGAAGAATTTTGAAATACTTTCTTCTGGCTTTTTGAAATGCACTGTACATAATTATTATCTAAATTCTCTATACAGTGCAATAGCACCCTATGGCTTCTTGCTCATACACAGCTGTAGCTTAATACAGTAGGTATTAAGAACGACCTACCTTTCTCTCCACCCCACTGTCTCCACGCTTCAGTTACCACCCTTCTATTCTCAACTTTTATGAAATCAGTGTTTTTAGGCTCCACATATGAGTAAGATCACATGGTACTTGTCTTTCTGTGACTTACTTAACATGATGATCTCTAGCTTAAACCATGTTGTTACAAATAACAGGAATGAATGAATGAATGTATATATATATATATATATATATATTCAATATATATATTCCATTATGTATATGTTTTCTTCTTTCATTAATTGATGGGCACTTAGGTTCTTTCCATTTCTTGACTATTGTAAATAGTGCTGTCATGACATGGAAGTGTAGATGTCTCTTTGACATACTGATTTTATTTCCTTTGGCTATATGCCCAGGAGTGGGATTCTGGATCATATGGTAATCCTATGTTTAATTTTTTGAGGAAATGACATGCTGTTTTCCATAATGGATGTACCGATTTACATTAGCACCAATAGTATGCAAGTGTTCCCTTTTCTTCACATCTTTTTTAGCTCTTGTTACTTTTTGGTCTATTAAAACATACATACTTACAATTTTGCAGTTCTGACCTACCATGACCAATGTCATGCTATTGTGATGATAGATTCAATTTTTTTAATCAATTGCATTTTAAACTGTATTTTCCTGTTTCTCATATATCTGGCATTATTGGTAATATGGTGAACAGCATGAATTATGAGTTGTATAGTCCAGAAATACTGTTATCTTTCTCCGAAGAGCATTGACTTTTGTTCTAGTGAGCAGTTGAATCACTAAATGTTTATCTTAAACTGGAATAAACTTAGTAAAACTCAAGATAGTTATTAAGCTTCTCTAACTTGATAGGATTTACCCATAAAACTCTGTGTTCCCATGTGGATCTTGTCAAAGCTTAATTTTAGTTTGAGTGACTCTAGGGCATAATCCCTAATCCTGGTGCATATTTTCTTATGTCTGACTTTGGATACTAAAGATGCTAATGAAGACTTAAGCCCTCATCACTCTGAATCCTGTTGTCCCCATAGGTACTAAGGCTGATTAGTCTTTCATATCTTCATTTTAATCATTATTTTATAGTACCTGCTTTCAGATAAATCTCTGGTAGCCTTCTTCTACATATGCGCAGTTGAGCCCTCAGCCAAGAATTCCTATACTGAATCCAGGGTCATCTTCTACATAAAGCATTCCTTTATGGTGCTTTACCTCCCTATATCCCATCATTTTATCTCTTCTCTGAAATCTAGTCTGTGCCTTTGGAAGCTCTAGACTTCATTTCTGCTTGAATTGCTGCATTGGAATCATGAAATTTCCCTCATGCCAGGGCAACCCTAAGGTTGAGCATTTGACTTCTTTTTTTAGAGAGAGAGAGAGAGAGAGAAAGAGAGAGAGAGAGAGAGTTTTAATATTTATTTTTCAGTTCTTGGTGGACATAACATCTTTGTTTGTATGTGGTGCTGAGGATCCAACCCGGGCCGCACGTATGCCAGACAAGCACGCTACCGCTTGAGCCACATCCCCAGCCCTAGCATTTGACTTCTTTTAGGAATTATAGTCTCATGCTGCCAGTTGTCCACTGCTTCACAACAGTTACTTGTTATACTGTGTCTAATTTTATAGTTGATTATATCAAGAATAGTCTAGTACCATTGACTGCATCATAAGCAGAAGAAGAAATCTTTGCAAAGTATTTTTCTAGACACCTTTCTCATGTAATTTTAACAAAGATGTGATTGTGAGATATATATACATTTTGAAACATTTTATTTTCACCTAAAAGGTAGGTGCATAATCCAACATGAGTTATGATAAGCTATTAACCATCTAAAGCACTTAATAGAAACAAATAATCAGATTTGCAATAATTTTCTATAATTATAACAATTAATTCAGAACTGTAATTTTTTTTAAAAAAAAAACCTTGAACTAATCTTATTTTATACCATAATTATTGTTCTTTCAGAGACTTTGACTTAATCCTGCTGTCAGTCACAGAGCTCAACACATACAGTTGTCTCATGAAAAGCAATTCAATTACAGATCAATGCATGCAATCTGGATTTGCAAATGTGGCTTATCATTAATAGCAGATATGAGATTCATCAGAGTAGGAATTTGAAGGTGAAGAGGTATGTGAGAGATAAATACTTATTCTGGTCTATTTTTGTCCAGTGTTTTAGTGCAGTTATAGCCTTATCCCATATTGCTGTGGCATCTCCAATAAGGATGTTTATGTCTTTGGTGAATTCATAAGTGACTGCAATAGAGCTTTTCCATTGGTGTACCTTATGCTTTTATTATCTTTCTTTGTAGATATTGATATTAGTGGCAGAATTCAGAATAAAATCAAAGTTGTATTCCTTTGCACATTTGAATTGAGAATTTATGTTTTGTAACCATGATTTATTTCCTCTGTTCATGATATTTTAATATATATGGAAAATCTTTCTAGATCAAAGTCACTTGCACCTCATGCTAGATTTTGGGTTTAGTTCCAGAAAAAGCCCCTTTGTTCCTGATTTTCAGCAGCAGGCAGTAATGTTCTAGTAAAGAGGTCAACAACTGGCTTTCAAAAAGAGAGGTGTAGGCCTGATTGAATGAATTTGCTGTTGAGAAGAGATGTTTCTGATTGGGTCCATTAGTCATACCTCTCATTGTTTGACCCTTTTATAAATTCTTGGAGGACCACTGACATCTCTTCGGGTATGTAAACATTCCTTTTGTTCAATTTCTGATGACTAGCGTGCTTTAGAGTGATCTCAAATATTGGTGTCTTTCGGGAGCACTTTTTTTTTTTTTCTTTAACATACTAAACGTGTAGGCAGCCATTCCTTTTTGATAGAAATTCAAGAAAATTCAGTTTCTTTTTAGCTCTAGAACATAAAGCTTAATGTAGATATTTCATTTTTTTAGGATTTTTTACATTTACACTTAATATATACTGAAATGCACACACAATATTTCTTTCCAATATTCAAATTTTCTCAAATTATTAATTTCTTCAACTGGTAGAGCTAAGAACTAATGGATGCTGTAAAATCAAATTTGCTTACAATATGGCTATTTGACATGATTTATTTAAATATACTGAACTATAAATGAAAATAAATAAAATTAGTAATTACTTTCTTATTCTTAGGATTTCTCTGACTTGGCCTATCATTCTCCTCTCATCTTCCCTTACTTTTCTGTTTTATCAAAACCTTTATCACTACCTTATATATAGCAAAAAAAAAAAAAATTTGCTGTACTCATAGTACCTAAATCAGTACATAGTTACAAAATGAAGATTGGTTGGATAATTAAATAAAAAATCTTAGAAAATTGATTAACATATTTAGAGTACCTAGCTCTTACAAAAATTCCCACTAGAAGTACCTAAAATAATAAAATTCATTATGCTTCTGAACTTTATTCACTGAGATTTAAAAAATGTTGATGTCAAAAACATGCAAAATCAGTGGTTAATTGAGTCACTAAACATAACCATTCAAAGTCATCTTCATGTACCCTAAATAATTTAACTTTTAAATGAAAAACTCTTTATTTGGTTGAAATCCACTTAGCATTTTAGCCTGCTACAATAATAAACATAAAATTAGACATAAATAGAGATACTTAAGTATATATGTGTGTGTATATATATGTGTGTGTGTGTGTATATAGTATATGTGTATATATGCATGCATATATATACATACATATGTGTATAGACACAGAAGAATTTTTCATCTGTATTAAAAGGTCTTTTTAAGAATTATTGTTAATGGTTGAATATTTTTAGCATAATTATTTTTGTCCTTACTAGCTACCAAAATTTTTTTTGGCCTCTTGGTATAAAGGAGGTCATATTTGAATTACTTATTCAAATCTCACTGGTTTTTGACATTGCCTCCTTATGTAATCCTGAAAAAATGCAAAAACCCTGGAGAGTTGCCAAGTTGTTGCACAATAGTATCTCACATGTCCTCATGAATTTGGATCTGATCTGCATTCATGTGAATGCCACTGGACAATGACATTCTCTGGCTACCATGGTGTCCACCATGGTAGAAAATTGATTAACATATTTATAGTACCTAGCTCTTCTGCCTCCCACCAGTTCTGTGGGGTTCAGAATCCTTTGAAGAAATGGCACACACTTTCTTCACATTTACTGAGAATCATCTTCATTGGCAAAAACTATCTAGTGTCATTGTCAAATGCTAAATGAGTGACCACTCCTTTTTACTTCTTTCAGGTGCACCAGTAGCTTTCTAGGGCCCACTACAGATTCTCAAGAGCCTCCCCTGGTTTGAGACTAGTCCCATTTACCACAGTGTGGGAACAAGTGGCACATCTCCAGTTATAGCAAAATAGTGTGGTTGTGTCCTGATGGCAGAGAGTTGAATCATCTTTATTTTATTTTATTTATTTTTTTTTACTAATAATCTTCTCCCTGGTGTGTTAGTCAGCCTTTCATCACTGTAACCAAAACACCCAACAAGAACAACTTCAAAGAGGAAAAGTTTAATTTGGACTCATGATTTTATAGGTTCAGTCCATGATTGACTGATTCCATCTCTTTGGGCTTGGGGTGAAACAGAACATCATGGCAAAAAGGTGGTAGAGGAAGCCTGCTCACCCCGTGGGCAGAAAGGTAACTGGGAAGCAGAGAGAGGTAGAATAAGGGGAAGGAATTCAGGGAAGATGAACCCTTGCAGGGCATGTCCCTAGCTACTCACCTCTTACAGTCATGCCCCAACTGCCTGCAGTTAGCACCTAGTCAGTTCATTCAAACTGAAACGGACAGATTTGGTGAGAGCTCTCATAATCTAATCATATCACTTCTGAGTATTAACACAGGAGATTTTCAGAGACATCTTGTATCAAAACTATAACACCTAGCAATACACATAAAAGTCCATGGGAACAGTCTGTCTCTATTTTTAAATAACACCTTTAGAATCATACTTCTTTGTCCCCAATACTTTTACTACAGATAGAACTTGAGATATCTGGTTTCCCCGACAAGGTGAGTTCTTTACTAGATCTGTCCTCAGTACCTCATTTAAATTGACTTGATAATTGTCCCTCTTTTTACTCTTTTTTCCACTTGCTGCTCAAATATCATCAGCATCTTAAGCAGTTTAAAGTTTTACCTCTGTTGTAATATAAATCTTGGATCTTAAAACTCATTTCAGTGTTAGGTGTTATTTCCTTAAAATAGATTCTTTTTAAATTTTTTTTTTTTAATTTTTCTGAGATGGAGTCTTGCTATCTTGCTCAGGTGGGTCTTGAACTTGTAGATTCAAGTGATTCTCCCACCTGAGTCTCCAGATTAGCTGGAACTACAGACATGGACTATAACTTAAAATAGATTTTGTGAAGTTGGGTTATTTGAGAAAGATGTTTAAAAGTTTTAGGATTTTTAAATATGCGTTTAAGGTAGATATTCCTACCTGATTTTATATTATAGCTATTCACTAATCTCAAGAAAATAATTTCCTCAATAAGCAATATTTATAGTAAATTAACTGTCATTCTTTAAAAATGCCTCCATTCCTTGATATAACTATTAACTGGCTATACTCATACTGTGTCACACAAAAACACCAAAACATTTTAATTCTTAGAGAGAGAGAAAGAGAGAGAGAGAGAGAGAGAGAGAGAGAGAGAGAGAGAGAGAGTACATGTCAGTCTCCTTGCTATCAGAGTATTATTTATCACAAAATTTTATAATTATAAAAGCTTTTGAGTTGGAATTCCAAGGTTTTAAAATCTTACACCCATACATTAATAAATAAATAAGAGAGAAATAATAAACAAATAATTCTTCCAGTCTAATGTGAGATATCAGTGGCCTTGACAATACCTATCTTATCTCTCATTGGAAATTGAATGAATGTCAATCTGGAACACTTTCCAGAGGCCCATGGAAAACAATGTTAATTATACTTATAATTAGCTCTTGGCTTTGGACTCACCAATTCCAGTTCTGATTTAGTGAGTTGCACATGCCAATGTTGTGCGTCTCCTTGCCTACATCAGTGCACCTGCAACTGACATTCAGAATGAGTTTTCCCACTGTTTTTATCAATACTAAATAATTTTTAATCCTGTGTTCTGTCTTCTTTTTTTTTTTATCTTGACTTTAACTAAAAAGGCAAAATAAGATGTATTTAGTAGCTAAAGTGATATGTATGTACAGATAAAAACATCTCAGACCAAGTTGCCAACAGAATTGGAAGGAACATTAATGTAAATGTTTTAAAAATGTATCTTAAGAGCTTGTCAAAACAATCTAAAAACAGATCTCCTATAGAACTGTGTGTGTGTTGAATGAACACTTTTGAGTCTTTTCACTTATAAGAGAATTAGCCTCATCCTTATCCCTTATTTATGATTTATTGCATACCTAATGTGCACCAGGTAATGTCATCAGCACATTTCTTAAAGCTACTGTAACAAATTACCATAAACCTGGTGACTTAACAAAAATTTACTCTGTCACATTTCTGACAGCCAGAAGTCCAAATTTAAGGTGTCAGCAGGGTTTCCGTCCCTCCTGGGGATATAGAGGAAATTCTGCTCCTTGTCTCTTCCCACTTATATTGGTTGTCGGCTTCTCCAGGAGTGTGGCCACACAGCTGCATTCTTAAGAACAATTGCCATTGATTTGGGACTCACCACAATAACTCACCATGATCTCAACCCACAATTCTTAACTTTCTCCAAATAAAGGAACATTCACAAGTTCTGAAGATTAGGAAAAAGATATATATTTTTGAGGGCCATCATGCAACCTATTGCTCTCACGTTATCTCTAATTGTCATAAGTGTAGAAATAAACTGAGAATAAAAGAGGTTTGCAGTTTTTCTATGGTCGCACAGATCCTGAGTGATGGGACTAGGATCTAAACAGAGGCAAAA